GCCCCGCTCCCCGTTCCCTTCTCCCCCTCACCTACCGCACCCAGCCTCCCCCGTCAGGGGCAGCGGGGCCGCTCCCTCTCCGTCCTGCCCTCGCTCGCCCACCCTCACCGCCCTTGTTTCTCCTTCCCCTGCCCGGGGCAGCCGCCGCCATGATCCTGCTGGAGGTGAACAACCGCATCATCGAGGAGACGCTCGCGCTCAAGTTCGAGAACGCGGCCGCCGGGTGAGCGAGCGCACGCCGGGAGGGAGGAGGCCGGGTGGACCCTAGCTCATCCCGGGTGGCGTCCGGTCCCCCAAGCCCTAAGAGGTGGGGGAAAGAGATCGGGAACCTGGCGCGGCTTCGGGGCTCCACCGGGCAAGGGTGGACGTCGGGAGGCCGTGGGGCGCGGCGGGCCGGAGAGCCGGAGATGCGTGGGGGAGAGGCTGAGACGGGGATGCGGAAGCAGCGAGTGGACAGGATCAAGGCGTGCCCGAGAGAGCGCAGGAGACCTGTGGGACGTGAGGGCAGCCAAGGCCAGGACTCACGCCCAAGAGCCCACTGCCCTGTGGGAGAAAGAGAGGGGCCCCGCTTCCCCTCTGTATTCTCCGTCATTGTTCCGAACCCAGAGAGACCCCCTTAGGGAAAGCAGGATTGAATGGAGTTTTCAGGAATTCCCAGGGCGAGGTGGGAAGACCAGGCAGGCCGAGATCGCCCGCCGCCGGCACTCTGTTTCCCCACCCCCATCTCTTCCCCCAGGAGAAGCAGGAGGCAAGACTGAAAGTAGACCCAGTCTCGGAAGCTAGAAGAGAAAAATACAAAAAAAAGACCCCAAAAACAAAAAACCCCAAACCCAGTGATCTCTCCCTGCCTCTCTAACCTGTGATCGAAACTCGTCATTTTGTTGTATATTGCTCAGGCAAAGCCAACAGTCCTCCATCCACACCCTCCTTAGCTCTCTGGAGACCAGCTCTGATCTGGTTATGTGTCTTAAATTCTTATCCAAGACCCCTGGTCTTTGATTACTTATATGATAATGCCGACCCGGTTAATAGCTGCTTCTGCTCCCAGAATCTATGAACTTCTTCGATAACCTTTTAAAACATCGGCATCTTAATGTACGGGACGTGTTTCAAGCCTTCTCTGTCAGACACACAAAAAGACAAACTCCTCCCCCAAAGCTGCTTTGCCTCTCTAATATACTTCAAACCTGAGCAGAGGAATTGGGTTTTAGGTTATAATTTATGGTGGCCTGTGGCCATTCCTTTGCCTCATTTCCTCATTGGTAAGGATGGGGCTTCACATTTTGGTTTCGCAGTTAGGAAATAAGTGCAGGCTGTTTTCTGTGAACTAGGAACTAGAAGTAGGAAAGTGAGTTAGTTGCCTGTAGATGCCCAGAAGGCAGGGTTGGGAGAGGGGGACTTGTAAGCATTCATAATGAACGTGTGGTTCACAGAGTTGGAAAAGCATGAACCCACTGCTTACATCGAATATGTCGTCTGTCCTGTCTCTTTTGTAAGGTCACAGATTTTATCTGCAAGACAAAACAGGGCTTCTCTTGCTTCGGTGCCTTCGGTGGGCATATTGCTTCCTGCCCTGCCCGGAGCTGCAGTTGAGTACATGTGCAAGTCTTGGTTCTTGTCTCCAGCCTTCCATACCACTTCTTTGCATTTGAAGTTTTGAAGTGAGTCAGCCCCGGGACTCAGTAGTGTAGTTGCTGCGTGTGTGCCTTTTTTTTTTTTTTTTTTGAATAGTGTAGCCCAAAGGAGGAAGTTAAAATAACTTCTGCATTTTCACAACCGATCTTAATACATACACTCTCAAGTCTAGACTGGCAAAGAATGAGTCCTGGGTGGTTACAAGGTAAATGGCCGTGTGTGTGCTCAAGTGGAGGCATGCCTTTTAAGGCTGGAGGACTTCCACGTTTGTGTATTAATAACTTGTGACTCCAAAATGTGACACGTTATTCAGAACTTGATTTAGTCTTTTTTTTTTCTGTTTAGAAAACATTCCTCACAGAGTGCTGGAGTTGGTGGTGCATGCTTGTAGTTCAGGCACTTCAGCTGTAACTCCAGCTTTCGGGAGCATGAGACGAGCAAAAGTTCCAGGCCATAGTGAGAGCTTGTATCAAAAAAAAAAAAAAGTGCCGACTGGGTGTGGTGTGCCTGTAATCACAGCACTGGGGAGGTGGAAGTGGAGGATCGGCCTGGGCTACTCTGTTGCAAATAAAAAGTTTACCCTTTCGGAGAGATTAAAATAGGTTTTTAAATCAGGAGGACATGAATTTAAATTTCCAAGACATTTCTTTTTCTTTTTGTAAAGATGCTCACTGTAGCCAGGTTTAACGTTTGAGGAGGTAATATGTTTTGTCTTAACCTTGGAGGTGTGACTTAGCAAATATGCTCAAAACATTTTGTTTAAAAGTACTTTGAAAAGAGACTAGTGAAGGCAGGGCTTTCCTGAGATTGCCTGTTTCTGCGGGGTGTAGTGGCGCCCTCTTCCAACCCTAGCCCTCGGGAGATAGAGGTAGGAGAACCAACAGCCAGGGATCTATAGTATAGTGACACTGTCTCAAAAAAAAAAAACAAAAAAACAAAAAAGCTGAGTGGTGGTGGTACACACCTTTGATCCCAGAGCTCAGGAGGCACAGGCAATCTGAGTTCGAGGCCAGCATGATCTATAGAGGAGTTCCAGGATAGCCTGCTCAGAGAAACCCTGTCTTGAAACTCCCCCCCAAAAAAAAAATGTGGGGAGCCTTTTGAAGAGAGCCAGTTAGCAAAGTTAGGGGGGAACTGCTAGAAAAGCTGTGTTAGGAGAAGATAATGCCCTTATAGAGAGGAATGGGCCAGAGGAGAGCCCCTGGAGAGGTGAAAGGCTGTGCTGTCCGGAAAGCTGGGAGGCTCAGCTCTGTCCTGCTCTTTGCACCTCTCAGAACAAATTAATTAGGGAAATTGCATTCATGGTAGCCTTTGCCAGAGTCAGTCTTTCTGTTCTGCAGTGTCCTGTACCATAGCCACTCACTACATGTAGCTTGTTAGATTTAAGTACAAAGGCGCAGTAAAACTAGAATCGGTTTCCTGAGCTGCATGAGCTGTGCTGCATTTACACAGTGTGCATGCCCGTGACTGTGGACAGTTCTGTTGGACAGTGCTCTTCTTCCTGCTGAAAATGAAAGCACCAGATAGTTTGTTTTTGGGGTGTGTGTTTCAGAACCCCGAGCCTTGCACATGCTAGGTGAGTGCTCCCATCACACTGCCT